GGGGGCACGGCGCTCTCGAGCCCGAGCTTGACTGGCCAGAGCGGAGCACGTAATCCCTCCCCTGCTGCAAAAAATTAAGCGAGAAAAGCGTTCGCGCTCGAGAAGCTCTGCAGAATTAAACCGGGAGCTGGCAAAAAGGTTAACACCAATCCGATCCGGGGGCACAGCTACCCCTTCCGCATCCGAAGCGGGCGCACGCCGCTCCCTGTCCAAGATGTTGTCAAATCCCAAAGCTATCCAAGGGCAGCAACTAGGGCAGTCACAGCAGAAGCTCGTACGAACGAGCCACAGCAGAGAGATTAACGAATTCCCGCTCCGGTGGGACGGTCCCCGATGCACAGTGCGAAAGGGAAGCTGCTCTACAAATGTGAAGAGTTCAGCAGTTGCTGCTTAGCTTGTTTACAAATTAGTCATCAGAGGCTTTCCCCAAGGATTCAGTTATTGGCCTCTGCAGCCAAAAGATTTATGGATCTTTCACGCTCCGAGTTGTCTCGGTTTCAAAGGATGCCGTGCTCCGATAAAGCCTCGCAGGTCAACACGCCAGGGATCAGAGTTCAGCCCGTGTCATTCCTTAAACCAATAGGACTCGGGCGAGCCACTGGCCTCGGGTTTTACGACAAACCACGGAAGATTCAGTTTCTGTTCAACGCTGCTGAGAGCGAATGCGGCTAACAAATAAATCTAGGCTACAGCTCCCACAGCAGAAGCACCAGCAGTGCTGAAGCCTGCACTTATGCAACTAGCATCAAAATTAGTAGCAATGGGTCCAGGCTGCCCTAGCGCAAACACCCCTGAAATCACATCTCGGTGTCTACTGCAGCTGGCCAGCTCTTCCTATATCACGACCAGACTTCCTAAGGACAGCGGCTACGGGGAATTCTGGCCTTAACGAAACACTCGGGCCCTTCGCTCATCAGTGCGTCACCAGAACGAAGCCATAAAGGCTGGATCTACCCCACGTCTCGCACAGCCGCTCGATGGACTATCTTGTTCCAAAGACCTTGAAGATGAGGGCAAAGATACGGCGGCAGGGAGAACGTTATCTTGCTGGTCCAGGGGTGAGCGCGAGGTTGTTGAACTGGAACCCGAATGTCTAGATGCTCTTCTCACCTGGGTTACGAGGGGAAGACTTCACACGCAGGCAGACGTACACACCACGGCTCCCTTTGGACGTTAGCCGTAGCTAAGGAAGGCTGAAGGCAGCTAGGCCCTGGCCAGCGACAAGGAGAACAAGGAGCCGCCCAAGCTGGGTCAGCTCCATCCGCTCAGAGACCTCAGCTCCTACCGAAGTAACCCTGGGGCGAGGAGGAGCAGGGCCGTATCGCAATAACTCCCGGGCATCGGCAGAGAGAGACATGCTTCGCTGACGGCTAAAGGAGAACGGATGAACGGGCTCCCGTCCCTAACCAACAGCAAGAAAGTCTTCAACGTCCTCCCTCCCAATGGAAACAGCTCCCTTCCTACTCTTTCTCCCCACTTTGGGAAAGGGGGCTTCTAGCTGGACAGAGTGGAAGTCACTGGGAACAGCAATGAATTCCTCAGCCCCAACAGCAGGAGATTTAACTCTAACCATCTTCCTAAACCTCACCTTACTTCTGAACGCTTATGACGTGTCCACGGCTCCAGCTTTCTCTGCGCAGCAATCCCTTCCCCTCTCACCTCTTGCATTTAGGGACCAAAACAGTGAGAACACCGACCTTCTCTTCTCCAGGACATACCTTCAGCTTAAAATCACCACGATGGTCCTTCGCCCTAGATCTGCTCCAAAACTTCACTAATATACTTCTTCTTCATCATGTGCTCCTTCCTGCAACCAGCCTCCCAAGACCCCGAGGTCCCGTGATGACCTGGCTTCCCAGGGAGGGGGATGAGGAACTCCCTAACAGCCCCATCCAACGCTAGTTGGCCTCCACCACGTAACCGCTCCTTAACCCAAACCTTACACCATCTCCACCCTAGAAGGAACAGCTCCATAGCTGCCTCCCACACTGAGGGAGAAGGAAAAAGACCAGCGACTACCCCATCCGTCACGTTTGCCCACCACTTCCAGAAAAGGAAGACTCCACAAGTGCCCCAAGAGCAGCCGCAAGGCGCAAGAAGAGCAGTCGCGCAGGATGGACGGCACCATCCGTCCATCTTGTATCTTCTCTGCAAGCAAAAGACAGCACCATCAATCCCCCCACTGACTCGCCAAAAACAAGGCACCCCTAGAAGCACCCGCTCCACAGCGGTACCTACCCCGAGGCCCAGGAGAAGACAACCCTGAGGTTGTTCCCTCTTCGAGAGGGAAACCAGCAGCTCCGTACCTACCTGGGGCGAAAGGGCAGCCACATCTGTCCCCTAACTACCCCTGCGGCAGAAGGGCAGCCAGCCACACCACGGCCGCCCGCGC